CACTAGACGCACTTGCGACGTTGTTCACCATGGATCCCAGTCTCTTTAACCAAACAAAGTCATTCTTAATCCAAAATAACCATCAATATAATCCCAATTTGAATCTATGCAACCCTCAAGTCAACAAATGTATACTATGACAATATTTAAAAAACAACTATACACACAAATATTATACTAGGTTTCCATTCGAGTAAGATTATGCTGTATCTGAAGTGTATTTCAGTCCTTGCAGAATGTCAGTCCTACAACTTTGAAAATGATTTTTATAGATGTGAAGGACGCATGGGAAGGGAAAAAACCATATGTTGTCTTTTCCAAAATTGGGCCCTTCAAAGTGTTCATTCGGGACGTATTCAATACTGGACCACAAAGAGAACTGGAAAGCGAGGTGAGGTGGTAACATTCTTTTTTCTGGAAAAGGTTCATGTATTGATTATACTTTTTAGTCAGGCACACAAAATTTGCATTATCTTTGTTAATTCTAAATATGTTTTTGAACCTTTCATTTTAAATTTCAGGTTATCAATGCATATCTGTCCCTGCTTATTAAAAAATATAATGACAACAACGCAGGCAGGGCATGTGCCGTGGACACTTTTGAAATGACCCGCATTTGGGATGGACTGAAACCCAAAGTAAAGGTATTAAAAAATATGATCTCAGGTTAAAGTACAAATTAATACATCACAATATGCATTAATCACCTGGCATTCTTTATTTAATCATCTTACAGATAGTCCCACAGCTATACAAGTTAATCGTGGGCATTGTCAATGCGGGTCCCCACTGGATGCTGGTGGTAATTATTTTTTAATTTTTAAGACTTGATGGTATTGGGTTTTATATGTATGTATGTATATTTAAACATAGTGTATGTGTCAGGAGGGGGGTCTTGAAGGGAGGACTCAGTTGCGGAGATGAGGGGAACAAGGTTTATTGTAACAAAAACCAGAGTGAATGTCCAGACAAAGTACAAATCAAAGCTGTGGAAAACTGTGAGCAAAGGCAACGTAAAGAAAACAAGACTGTGGCAAAAACTATGACTTTGACAAAGTAACAAAATAAAGATTAAAAAAACTGTAGCAAAACTGTGACTATGACAAAAACAAAGACTATGGCAAAACAAACCTGGCGTGGGGAGACGACGGACAAGACGGACGAAAGACGAAAACGCACTCGCCCAAGACAAGGGGAAACGAGGACTATTTAAACACATGAGGGAGGGAAACCCCAGGTGTACACAATAGGTAATCAAGACGAGACGAGACACCAGACGTGACAGTATGCATGTGTGTGGATGGTTGTGTGTGTGTATACATACTGATGCAGTCTGCATTTTATTGCTGAAAAACTATAACTATAGTATTACAGTATCTTTATTCATTTTTGACACTATATTTAGATGATCTTGCCAGGAGACAAAAAAACAGTTCTTCTAGATCCACTGGGTGGAAGAAAAACCTCAATAAACCACTGCAAGGATGTTACAAGGTAATTTTGCATGAATTAATCTTTATTTTATTAGAGTGAAGTACACGTAAAAAAAAAAAAACTATTACTGTAATTAATGGCTAGCGCTGTGGAATTTAAGGTACGTTTACATAAAAAGATGTTAAATGTGCCAATATAGCATAATCTATCAAGACAGTAGTATCAAGATAGTATCTTTTTTTAGTAGTTTTTTAGTAGTTCTTTTTATAAACCTGTCTAAGTTTTAATATAAAACTTAGACAGGTATATATTCACAATGGGGAAAGTCTTAGCTGTGGAGGTTAGAAACTCAAAGAAAAAGATTTTCACATTTTGAAAAAATGATAGGCCTGTAAACAGGTTTAGATTTATCTACCGCTACATACGTTAATAGACTTTTCCTAGGCTGTGATCATCCCATCATTTTTAATCGTCCATGCCAGCTGGGATAAGTCTTTTTCTCAAAGTCCTCATTATATCCTAATTTTTCTATCTCAATTTCAAAGCATAAAGGTACAGTTGGTTATTCCCTGTACTATGCTAAAAATTCATTCTGGTTTTACAAAACTCTTCACTGACAAGTCTAAGTTATCTCCTTTCCTTGGAAATCCAGTTTTTACTTCTTCATTCTACATCTTTGTGTTTTTTCAATAAGAAATGCGATTGGAAACAGTAAGGAATTTTGTTTTACATTACATCAATGCAGTGAACATTTTAACTATTCAATTCTTAAAAGTAAGGCCTGACTGATTTGTATTGCATATATAGACAACATATATTTGTGTTGTTTAGATCATTCATGAGACACAGGGGGCTGAACGTGTCCAGATGGGCATGTGAGACGAGGTCTCACCCACTGCAACATAATGCCACATCTTGTGGTGCCTATGCATTGAAGGTACATATAACAGCATGATTAAGCTTTATGTTAGGATTATAATCAAATTTAGATTATGCTGCAGTCATTTTAAACCTCTAGGTTCATCCCAAAAAATAATAATTCAATCGTTAATCCCCACACTGGCTGTTGTTATGTAAATGTTAATGATTAGCATAACTTACAATTAAATAATAACTTACAACTTAACCATAAGACAGGCAGCGTGTATTCATGTGTGTACCAGCATTAAGGAAAAAGACACGCATTTAATGGTTCAGCTTAACTGGAAAAGAAAAGTAGAACTTCTGAACTGCTAGCAGGTTGCTAACGTTAGCCGTTTGGGACATGAGAGCCGCTCCACAGAAGAATGGGCAACATTTCCCCAATCAACAAACACGACCCGTGTTAAGATGGAAAACAATTCTTAAGCAGTGTTAGGAATACCAGCATGTTCATGATATGACTTACCCGAGCCAGGCCCGACTCCAGTTCAACCCGCTCCAGACTACCCTCACGTGCCTCCGGTGCTAAAGACCTGACAACTGGCGCGTGGTCGTCACTGTGTAGAGTTCAGGTTCCACTGCATGTGTGCGGGATTTGACACTGACTTTTAACTCTGCTCTTAGAGTGGGGTTACTCTCTATATAGTTGAAAATCCTCTATCTAGGTTAAAATAGATTTACTCTGACATATTCACTCCCCAGTTTTTTTACTGTGAAATTGTACTTTGCGGCTCCCCTTATTAGCTGTGGATTATCATTGCCTTATTCAGAAAAGCCAAGTTCTGACCAGTCCAGCGCTTAGGGTCCCGCGTTTTATTCTGGAGCCAGCAGCTGACTTTGGCTGTGTTGCTCAGGTCTAAATAGCCCGTGTGACAGGTACCCTGCAGCTTACAGCCACCAGCCTGTGTGCGTCTGATTTCAGAAATACCCTGAATGCATCATTTGATTGCAGCAGCTGTGTCACAGCAATAGAGTGAGGAGCTTTAGCTGATCTCTGCTTAATATTATTATTTTTTATTTTTCATTTATAATTATAAACAATGTTTTTTGTTTTTTTGGTGTGTTTCATCCCTCCCCATCAGCTTAGCCTGTGGGGAGGCGCTTTTTGTTGTATTTCTCTTTTCAGGATGGATAGCAGGGATTTGAACATGGACCTGCAAAAGGAAAACGAGATGGGAACAACAGACACAGTGGTAAAAAGCAAAATGACAGTAAAATACATTAAATATGATAAATACTTAACTATGGTTATGGAGATGGAAGGAGAGGAGAAGATATCAGTGGTTCAGTTAATGAAAACTATCCCACTCTTGTGTGGAGGTGTTGTTGGGTGTAAACCATTAAGGCCCAGATCATTTGAAATCACTTGAAGTAATGAAGCTGTGAACAATAAGTTCATGGAAAACTGAACGGGGAGACTCCCCATTTTCTTCCTCCCTATGGTCACTCTTCTTTCCTTAAATGTGGCAGGGATGAGGAGTAAAGGGAAGCTGTGGAACTTTTTTTACAATGTGAATGATGATCAAATATGTTTACAAGAAACTATTTGGGACAATGAATTAATAAATAAAATAAAGAACCTTTGGAATGGACAATTATACTACAATAATAAATAAAAGACAATTTAGGAAGATACTAATTATAGGTTTCAAAGATGACAGCAGTAGAGCAGCCTTAGTCAACTAAATGAGAAAAATATAATTACATTTATAGATTAAGATTATTAAATAGAGATGCTAGCTGCAGAGAACGCCACCCTCAGGGACTCGGTGAAATCCCTTACGGAGGGAATGAGCCGAGTTTCTCAGGAAAATAAAAAAATCAAAGAGACAATCTTGGACCTCCAAGCTCGCAGCATGAGGGACAACATTGTGGTAGCTGGGATCCTGGAGCAGCAGGACGAAGACCCTGAACTGGTCATCAAAAGCTTCATCCAGACCCATCTGAAGCTGCCGGAGGACACAGTGAAGAACTTCTCCTTCCACCGAGTGCACCGCCTTGGAGGTAAGAGACCCGACGCCCGCAGGCCAAGACCCATCGTGGCCAAGTTTGAACACTTCAAACAGAAGGTCCTGGTAAGAAGCCGTGGCCGGGAGCTGAGAGGAACCGACTTCAGCATCAACGACCAGTTTCCTTAAGAGATCCTGGACAGACGGAGGGTCCTGTTTCCCATCCGGAAAAGGTTCATCGAAGGAGGCTCCCGGGCAGTCATCGCGGTGGACAAGTTATTTGTCAACGGCCAACTCTACCGCGACCAAGAAACCACCCCATGGCTATACTAACCCCAGGTGATATCTACTCACTTATACTCTAGTATTTAGATATCATATCGTTTAGGTATCATATTAGACTGCATATATATGGATATATCTCTAAATACTCCATTTAGTTTTACAGCGAATGGTTAAAACAGACACACCACCTCCACAGTTTGACTGCCACGGTCTCACTAACCAAGCGACCTCTTACACCGTGATGGTTTACTCGGGTCCTCACTGGGTGAAACCTTCCCTGCACTTTTACCCTTTTGCACTGTTTTCTTTTCCTTTCTCTTTTCCTTCTATCGTTTTTTACCAACCAGCTGCTTTGGCATTTCAACATGTTTTGTTAAAATCAAGATTAACCTGTAAGGCACCCACAGGGAACACACCACTAATGGCTCACACACAAATGGTGGCTGCAAGGTTGCTGAGCATCAGTACCGCGCACGCAATTGGATGCATTTCTCCTTTTTTTTCAGAACACCACTCATCTAAATGAGTAGGAGCATGTCCACATTAAAGTTGGTTTCATGGAATGTGCATGGAGCTGGGTCCAGAGAGAAAAGACTAAAAATAGCTAATGAATTGAGGCTTTTAGAGAGACACTGGTTATTACAGGAGACTCATCTGTCTGCAGGTGATGCCTTGACCACAGCAGAGTTTCCTCACATGTATGCAGCTAGTTACAACTCTAGGCAAAGAGGCGTAGCTATTCTGATAAACAAAAAAGTAACATTCACTGTAAATAGCATAATTACAGACTCGGAAGGCAGATATATAATAATCAATATATCCATCCAGGACAGGATCCTATGTATTGCCAATATTTATGGCCCAAATGTGGATGACCCCTCATTCTTTCACTCTCTCTTCACTGCACTCTCGGATCACTCGGATAACGCACTTGTCATTGGAGGGGACTTCAACATGGCATTAGACTCGGAAGCAGACAGGCTAAGCAACACCAGAAGTCTGCGGAAATGGCAGTCCACAGACGTGGTTAAGCAGTACATGGGGGATTTTGGTCTTTGTGATGCATGGCGCTCCCACCATCCCAATCATAGAGAATTCACTTTTTTTTCACCAGTGCACCACTCATACTCTAGAATAGACTATTTCTTAATTAGTAGCTCTTTGGTGTGTGAATTATCAGACACCAAAATCCATTCTATTACTATTAGTGATCACGCACCGGTTTCTGTCACGTTAAAGATTGAAAGGGATACACCACCAATTAGGACTTGGAGGTTTAATACATCATTGCTTAAAGACAGTGATTTTATTAATTATTTCAAAAGGGAATGGTCAATATACCTAGAAAATAACGACTTACCAGGAATGTCAGCATGCACCCTCTGGGAAGCTGGGAAAGCAGTAATGCGAGGTAAAATAATCGCTTTCTCATCATATAAGAAAAAAAAGGAAAGCTCAAAAATCTCAGATTTAGAGTTAAGGATCAAATCACTAGAATCTACATATCGTGTTTCCCAAGATGAAAAAATAATGAAAGAACTGAGGAGAGTCAAACTTGAATTAAATGGAATTATTGACAAACAAACACAGTTTATGATACAGAGACTCCGCCTGGAGAACTTTGAAAATGGCAATAAATCCGGCAGATTTTTGGCAAATCAGTTAAAGAGAAACAAAGAGAAAACAAAAATAACTTCAGTTAAAGACTCAGAAGGAAATACTATTCATGACCCTGAGTCAATCAACAACACTTTTAGAGAGTTCTATAAAACTCTATATACGTCTCAGAACAATCCTTCAGATGGTGACTTTGATCAGTTTCTTAATAATATCGGTCTAACGAAATTACAACCTGAACAGTCTAAGGATCTGGATTTACCCCTCTCAATAGAGGAGCTCCATGATGCTCTGCAAAACATGCCTAGTAACAAAGCTCCAGGACCAGATGGCTTTCCAGCAGAGTTCTACAGAGAATTTTGGACTGTACTGACACCTACATTTCATAAACAAGTCAAAGTGAATATTAGCTTACCAACAAGCATGAACTCTGCCAGTATTATCCTACTGCAGAAAAAGGGATGAATCCTGTACTTCCATCCAGTTACCGCCCAATATCACTAATAAATGCTGATATTAAAATCATTTGTAAAGCCCTGGCCAAAAGACTGGAAAAAATGACTCCATTTATAATACATCCGGACCAGACAGGTTTTATAAAGGGTAGATACTCATCCACAAATATGCACAGGCTCATTAATCTTATAGATTTTTCCACCATCAACAGGGTGGAAACTATGATCCTATCGCTTGATGCTGAGAAAGCATTTGACAGTTACCTGGAAATTTCTGCTGGCCACCTTAAACTAATTTGGGTTCAGATCAAACTTCATCGACTTGATAAGAAAATTAAACAGTTCTCCAAATGCATGTGTCAAGACTAATGATCAAACTTCTGCAAGCTTCAGCCTACAGAGAGGGACCAGAAAGGGCTGCCCACTTTCCCCATCGCTTTTCGCCATTTTTATTGAAACTTTAGCAGCTGCTATCAAACAGGATATCAAGGGAATCCAACCCCAAGGTTCAGAGCATAAGATCAGTCTTTATGAAGATGATGTATTACTTTTCCTTCAAAACTCACAGCCATTTGTCAGCCATACACTCACATTAATAAATCAGTTCTCAGCACTTTCCGAATACTCAGTGAACGGGTCTAAGTCCACAGCTCTGTCAATTAACTGTAGCTTCCAGAACATACACATGCAGTCAGGTAATGGCAATACTT